CTACTCGCCTCTTCGCGATGACAGCGAATTCTCGTGACCACATACCACTTTCACCGCTAGTTCTGACAACTACCTTCTCCTTCCTTAGCCTCATTGGTTTCTCTGTAATCCTGCTGACGTCGAGGGAAAATGCGGCAACACCCTGGAGACCGTGCTTCGTTCGGCCCTCGAAATTGCCGCCTCGGACGACCTGCGTTTCGCGCTCTGGGACCAAACTCCCGGTCGGGACGTTTTCTACATTGTTGATCCACAGACAGTGTCCACTCGGTCAGCCTGGGTGGTGCACCTGCGAGACATTCAACGCATGCAACAGCAGTTACTCATGGCTCTGGAAGACCCCACCCGATTCGCTAGCACCAGTGGCACGAGTGAACACTGGGGTAAGTGCGCAGGCCTCAATAACAGTATTGAGACTTTTTTATTCTGTTTTTCCGTTGAGTTCCGTCTTGAATGCTGCCGATGTTGGCTGTTGAACATGGCACTAAGTCATCATCATAGCCACAATTCAAATTGTCACTAAGTTTTACTCGATCAGCTTCCATATACCATGACTAAATATGCATAGAGAGGGTGGTAAGTATCTCCCGTGTCTGAATGCTACGGAATACCTTACGTTTTCGCACCAAAATTCACACGAAATTGGAATACACTTCTTATTGTGTCTTAAAATCGAAAATAAAACCGTATACAAAATTGTGAAGAACTCGATGGACCCGATGGAATTCGAACCAAGGCGTGAGTACGGCTAATGCGCTTATCACGTGAGCTTCGTAGCCCCGACTGAGAACATCTAGTTTTTAACATTTGGGCTATTTTACCCCCAACCTATTGCGACATATAGAACGCACCAATTATATCACTGTAGGTTGATTGTCAACCTTCCCCAAAACGGGTTTTCTTGAGCCATCCGTTTAGGATCCTTAAGGTAGTAAGCAGACAAGTTTGCTCAATGTGTTTGACGATTAAAAAAATTTAGCTGTGCACTTTAGGTCGATCGCCTAAAAAATCCTGTTTGAGCAGTCATCTTACTGTATTAGAATTCATGGATTACGTCCAAGACACTCTTTTCGGCTGATAATTGAAACAAATTTAATTAAGGTCAGGTTTCCCGGTCGGCATTTCGTATCTCAGATGGTTTAAGTGGCCACTAAACGGACCGCATGGTAGATTAGGCCATGGCAGGAGTAATTTGGGTTGCGCATCCTTCGCAAATGCCGAAGAGAGGGTGGCATGCATAGGTGCAGGCTCCCGCCGCGCCAGCTACCTGCGCTTGATCCCGACTCCGTCTTGACACCGAACACCGGTGGATGAGGAAAGAAAACGTGCGGTAGATGCAACGCAAGTATAATATTCCTTAAAATTAATCCAAGCGCAGGTCATCGTCTCTGCAGCACCATTCTGTGGAGTACACGGTGGGTCTCGTCGAAAGCGACAATCGAAATGTTGGTTTTAGCTTTGGCTGTACTGCCCTTACTGCCGTGGGTTAGAACCCAATCGAAACTGTCCAGTTTTTTACAATTAAGTCTTTTAACACTGTTTTTAGCGCATTAACATATATTTGTGTGATTACTACCGGAACAATCTCCTTACATCTATTACCTACTGGCCTTCGGTTTTTTCAGTTGCCTATGATTGTCTGCTTAATTCGTGCATCTTTGTCTAATCTGTTTTTTAAGACTGGGAACTGTCGGGTATCTACGACCATGCTTGTCGAGTTGACTTTCCTGAGAACAGTTCATCTTCGCGTCTACGATTTTACAACATTTGAAATTG